AGAAGACTGAGAGGTGAGGTGATAGCCTTCTTTAAATATTTGAAGGAATGGCATATAGAAACTTGTTTTCCTTTGCTCCAGAGACAAGAACACAAACCAAATGGATGCAAAGAAAAAAGAGTCTATCTAAACATTACAAAGAACTTCTTTGCTGTAAGAAATGTTTAACAGTGGAAGAGATTGCCTCCGAGGGTGATGGCTTCTCCTTTGGAGGTCTTTAAACAGAGCTTGGATAAGCATCTTTCCAAAAATGCTACAGTTGTGTATTTCCCTGTATGGCAGAGATTTGGAAAAGATGGTCCTTGCAACTCTCTTTCAACTCTTAACATTCTATTATTCTATCTCAGTTTTCAGCTGTATACTAGACAAAGCATCATGTCACTTTCTTTCACAATGTTGTTTGCATAGTTTCATGTAGCTACACACACATACAAACACACTGACATGGCTGTCAACTCCAGAGGGAGGTGAGTGGCATTTGTGCTGCCATTTATTGGTTGGGGGGAAGGAGAGGTGAGGAACCCAGGGGTCACTCCAGCTGCTGGAGAAAGAAATTTCCAGAGATCTGGGAGAGCAACCTAATTTCTTTTCCCCTCATCTGCCACTGCAGCTGGAACAGGTGTTGTGTGGCTTTCCCCTCCTTGCCACATCCAGTAAATGGCTGCAACAACACACTACACAATACAGCTCCTTTGGAACTGAAGGGGGGTCTTCAGATGTTGCACATCACTCAAACAAGACATACTTAGATGGGACTCCAATTTACGTGTTCATATCTGCATTCTCTCCAATATTGCACTAGATCATGGGTGGCTCCACATGCACGGTGCAACTTACACATGCATATGTCACCAACAGGATGACACACACCCCTATGGGCTAATAATGTCTCCCTCTCCCTCTGCCCCATCCAGTGTGATCCTTTGGGACTGTTACACTGCAGGCCAATTTGCAAGCCTAAGTCAAAAGAGTAGGTGGAGTCAAAATTGAGACAAGCTGAGTTTGCTGTTATAATCATTCCTCCTCTGACTGCCTAAACCTTGAGGAATGTATGGGAGGCTTTGTGGGCTGCTGTGAGGTTTTGGACAGGTGATGTGGAGAAGAAGAGGATAAGGTCATGAGTTGTACATACCTGCAGGATTACATCAGTTCTGATCTGGCTTCTCTCTCCATCATTGCTGGACCTACTGGTGCCTGGAGAATTGTCCCCTCTTGAATTCACACTTTACAGTCAAAGAGCATAAACCTGAAGGGGTCTATGTGTACACCATGGGATGTAACATGGAAATGTAACAGATGCAGGACTGGCTTCCATTCCTCTGTGACCAATGTAGACATGGTGGCAAACCCAGGTTAGCCTGTGTGATTGTCAACAAAGTGTGGAAAATGTAAAAATTAAAATGAGGCATGAGGTTACAAAAACAGTGACACCCCAGCCCAAACACCAAACCAAAGATGGGCAACAGATCAGGGCCAATATCTACAGGGATGTCCCAGGGATGTCCCAATGTCCCAGGGATCCTCCAGGGACCACATGGCCTTACAAAAAGGATGCAAAAACCTGGATGTGGTCAGAATTCCACTTCTGGTTTTGAAAAAGCAACCAATTTTAATTTTACATTGGTTGATTTAATTTTAAAGTGTCAAATAATGCAAAGGTGAATTGCCTCCTACTAGATATAAATTTGCCCAGAAAAAGGATGGTCCAGGGAATCTGGAGGGGTCAAGTGTCACAAAACAAGAGTTGGGGCCAGATTTGGCCCCAGAACAGCACTCAGCCCACCTCTGCAATACATTAATGGGTTTTCTGTTCCCTCCTTATCTGAAGCCAGATCAATGTGAATCACCAGAGCTGGCCACTGATTCTGTTTGATCCTATCAGTCTTTTTTTGGCAGGAGCAGGTGGAGGTACTCAGTTTCTTTGTGTATAACAAGCCCCTCCCTGCACCACTTACCTGTCCACAAGCTGGAGAGTCATGTCTCTGAGAACTATCTCTTAGCCTATCCTATCTCAGATAGTTTTGGTAGAATACAACTAGTCTGAATCCTATTGATGAGTCCCATATTCTATGGCATCTTCCATGGTTGATTTCTGAATAATACTGAACCAAGGCCTTGACCACCTTGAATACTGATGATCAGGAGGGTCTGTGTAGTTGAGATCAGAAGTGTACAGTTCTCTGCTATGGAATTCTGGGATGTGGAATTTTGTGAGATATTTAGCCTTCCCTATCAGAGA